CAGAAAGTGTTGTAGGGTTTCTATCTCGTGTAAATTGCATATGTAGCATTCTTTACTCAATTCATTGGTATCAGGTATTTTGAATACCCATACGAGTTGGCTATTATTGTATTCTTCAGGTACTTATAAATGCGCAGACTTTGGTCATAAGTGTACGAAAACTTAAGAACAAACGTATATGTCCATTACTATTATTGTATTGAGGAACTCCTAAATAAACATCGATATTTCTGGAGAACGCAACAAATGAGTTTGACGCTTACAGTATAAAAATTATCAATAAAAGAAAATTTTTGGAAACCCTATAATGTCGTTGGGCATTCGTATCTGTGCGTGTGGGTCATAACCGTGTAAATTGCACATAATTCTTGTCTATATTATCAGAATAAAAAAAATAAAAACTTCAAAGCTACGGTTAAAACTGTCAAAGTTGCGATTTTTTTAATCAATAATAAGTTGTAGTTTTTTAATGTGATGTATTTTGTGATAATTACTTTTGCTTGTATCTTTATAACCAAGCGTGTTACATATTGACCAAATCGGTTAAGATAGTCGTTGATATTAATGATAATGATATTGATATTGATAATAATAGTAATAACAATAAAAATAAAAATAATAATAATAATAATAATAATAATAATAATAATAATAATAATAATAATAATAATAATAATAATAATAATAATAATAATAATAATAATAATAATAATAATAATAATAATAATAATAATAATAATAATAATAATAATAATAATAATAATAATAATAATAATAATAATAATAATAATAATAATAATAATAATAATAATAATAATAATAATAATAATAATATAATAATAATAATAATAATAATAATAATAATAATAATAATAATAATAATAATAATAATAATAATAATAATAATAATAATAATAATAATAATAATAATAATAATAATAATAATAATAATAATAACAATAATAATAATAAGAAAAACATTAAGACCGCGGTATGGAAAATTAACTTTAATGCTCACAATGCTGAACTTAATTTAGTAAAATCTTACACTATGTACTCTCAGTGACTGGAGAATCTCACTACCAAAAATGCGTCCATATCCCTTGTACCACAAATTAAGGTATTTTGAAGATTTTAGTCATATTTTTGAATTCAATAATAGTCATATTTTGGAAACCACATACAACATAGAAAATCAACCAAAAATGATAAACATTTGTCAATATTTTAGTTTAGTCACGACACACAAGATCACTGAATTGTACGCATTGCTTACTTACTCAAGTTATAGATATGAGCTTTCTATTAAATTTTCATATCTGCAGAACTCAAGAAGCACGATGTTACAAACAAATACAGTCCCCTGTATCATAGAGTGGTGTAGGTAAATTGATATTGAGTTTTTCAAGCGCCTAGTTGTTCAAACCATGCTTGATCAGGCACAGACATTTAGTACTGATATCTGGTGACCTCTTTCCAAAAATGTCGTTACACTACTTTTTATGCAACAATTTTTTTTCATATGTTACACTCATTGATTAATTGAGCGAAATATGATTGAGCGAAATCCGATTTCGCATTACTTACTTACTCAAGTTCACTGACCCACAATAACATTCTTGCGTTATTAAATATTTTGGTCAAAAGATAAAGTGGACATAAGTTGGGAGCAGAAAGTTTTAATTGATCACTGGACTGGACCACTGGAACAATGAATAATAAACAAATGACAGTCCCTCACTGATAAAAAGTTCATAATATTTTCATATCAAATGTCATACGGATTTGTTAATTACAGCGTTAATGCGAAAAGAATTGTAGAATCGCCTCATCTATTAAATAGAAACATTTAGAATAAGATGCATAGCTGCTCTTGAAATGATTTGATTTCTTCGATAGGTTCTTAATTGTATCAGTTGACTCTTTCAATAATGATATTACAGAAACATTGTCATTTTTCTTCAGTAATAAATAAACATTGTTTCCATTGTACAATGAAGACAAGGTAGGACAAAGCAATCACCTGAAAACAATTTTTTCTTTTGGCAGTCTTGTAATGTCAAATAATATATACAGTTTTTTCATAGTAGAATTACAAGGTAGCCCTATCAGGACAGCTGTAGGCATTTCGATATGTCAATCAAATTGTTGTATTTCGAATTCGTCCTACATATACATAAAGTGAAAAACAAACGAAAATCTATATCTATAAAAGAGGAAAATGTTTGTATGTATGTTTGTTTGTAATTTATGGACTCGAAAACCGCTACACAGATTTTCCTCAAAATTTCCAAGCATACAGCAACATTGCCTGAAAGTAACTTAAGCTATACACATTTTTTAAATTCCACTTGGAACTGGAGATGTAGCATCAGAATCGGAGATACCTCTCAAAAATTTTGATTTTATATACTCATATCTATTGATCGATTACTAATTCAGTCTCCAAATTTGGAATGCATAATGGAATTTGGAACAAAAATAAATTTGCAAAATTATATTGAATTCGGTTCAGATTTGGATGTAGCTATATATATTTTCAGTCGATTTCATGTATTTGATGCATTAAACTCGCTATGTACTCCACATTCCAATGAATTTTGGAAACCTAATGGAATTTGTCTAGAAGATTATTTAGCCAAGAAATCGGGTCAGATTTGATTTCGACAAATTTCACATATTTGATGCACTTAGGCACGAGTGCCTAAATTTGGTACACAAATAAGTTTGCGAAATTATAATGAAATCTGTATAGATTTGGATATAGCTCCCATATATATTTTCGACCAATTAAATATATTTGATGCATAAAACACGATCATGCCAATGAAATTCGGCATGAGTGCCTAAATTTGGTACACAAATAAATTTGCCAAATTATATTGAAATCGGTCTAGATTCCATATTTATAGCTTCCATATTTATTTTCGATGATTTCGTTTATTTGACACACCAAACACGATATGTATGTTCGATTCCGATGAAATTACCCAAATATAGTTGTTACAGAGTGCATATTACGGCTGCGGAGAACAAAAATAACAAATCGGATGCACAATATATATGGGAGCTATTGCTATATCTGAACCGATTTTCACCAAATTTGACACACTTATTTATCAGGTCTAATTTGGTAGTATGTACAAATACTACCATACAGGTTTGGTGCACAAAAATAGCAAATCGGACGAAGATATATATAGGAGCTATATCTAAATTTTGACCGATTATTTCTAAAGGGTTCGTCCTTGGGCCAAACAAATGATTTATGCAAAATTTCATCTGGATCGGCCATTAAATGCGACCTGTGCTTTGTTTATAAAAATACATGGACAGACGGACGGACGGACATGCATAAATTGACTCAGAATGTGATACTATGCAGATCATAAATCTATCTCGCTTCCTTCTCCATGTTACAAACAAATGCACATAATACCCTTACCACTAAGTGGAATGGTGTGTTGTATGGTTTGTAAACGAACGTATATTGGAGAACAAGCTAAGTCCAATACTTTCCTTGATTTAACATTTGTATAAATGCATTCATGAGTGCAGTCACGAGTCACACACATAAAAACAACACCAATCATTTCATTTATCAATACCTGAAGCCAGTTACTACAAATATAGTTCATGTGGATGTCTATTTCCTAATATGCAACATTATAAGATTTCTTCCCTATCCTTTAAAATTGAAATTGGCTTCAAAAATAAATTCTTTCAAAGGATTCTTTCCCTTTTCATTATTTGTGATCATTTAAAAGACAAACGTATCGTCATTACCCTCATGCAAACCAATTTGAGATAGAAAGAACCATTGTAATATTCGGCATGGACATTTAATGATATTGTTGAGTAAAGTAAAGTAAAACAAATTCATGATTATACCCTTGAGAAGTTCTTTAATACCACTAATTGAGATCCGGAAATATGTTTTAGAAATCTGTTATTTGAGACCCGGAATTATTCTAAAAAAAGCCACAATTTGAGACTCGAGGGTGTTCATTAACCTTTACGAATTGAGATCCGGAAATATTCTTCGAAATCCATGATTTTCCTAAATAATCAAGAATTTGATGTTTTGAAGGAATCTTTAATGTTTAGAAATCCACGATTAAAATTCAGAAGCCTTTGTAGAAAATCCACATATTGAGGCGACTTCTTTGTTTCCTGTCTTACTTCGTTCCAATTGATTTTACTTCTTCTTTCCCAGTTCGCTGATATCTGAGACCGTATCAAACATTACAAATTGCAGCACAGCAAAATTTCCTTGCACTATTTAATTTTTTTAAATTTCAATCGACCATCACAAAATTATTCAATATTTCAAAATTAAGTGTTCTGTTTGATGCAAAACAATTTGCCTCGAATTTGCTCTGTTACATTTAATGTTATTTTAATAAAGTTTGTGCTGTTGAAGCAGTATTTAACATCAACTTATAATCAGTCTTTCACATACATTTAGAAGGATGTTGTTAACATTTTGATATGAACTTCGTCGTTGAAATATTTTATGGGTTGTCGCATGGTACGATAAGGAGGTAGAACAGTTTCGTAAAAATATGTCCGCTTCCTGTCAGAATTATTCAAAATTATATGCAACAAGTTGTTTTCGTTTATTTGACATTTTTCCTAGACTTAAACGAAGCGAAAGATAAATGACGTGCCTGGATTTTATTTCAAATATATGATCCAGAGTGTCCAACCTTTCAATTCCATGGCAAAACTGGTAAATATTTTCAAATCGCGCTCCACAATCTCCAATCATTGATTTGAAAATATTTTGTTTTTATTTTTCAAAACAATAAATACATACACAAAATTGGCAGATGTCGGGCACACTCAGAAAATCAGCTGGCCTTACCTTTTATATATATATATATATCTTTTTAAAATTATAATTTTATAACAGATTAGGCACTATATTTTGAAAATATGTACAATTCAATTAAATACATTTGCGTTAGACTAGACTTAGCATTTTTTTTCTGTTTCAGAGAAATGCCTATGATGTTAAATATCCCACCGTTTTACCGCCAAACCCACAACTCAAGGTAATACAATTACTTGTTTTTTACGAGTGCATAGCGTCTTTATTTTGATTTGATCTATAATTTTCTTGTCATTTAGGCTCTGCTGGTCTTTTATAAATCAGACAACATTTGCGAAGTGGTGCAGCAGGCTTGCAACCGACAACAGCTGGAAATATCCTTAGTAAAGACAAAAGAAACTGCTTTTGAAAATCTCTGTAGTGCCACCGAATGTTTTCATGTTATTATCATAGATGCTCGTTCGCCGAAACATTTAGATGCCGAACACATCGCGAGGTATGTTATTGTTGAAGTAGTTATATATGTTTGCTTTTATTCCCATATGTCCAAATGCTTTTATCTTTTTTTAATCTTAGATCAATACGGCACATGAGCGGGCATCATTTTACAACAATAATTGCTGTTGTCAAAAAGAGGTAAAACTTACAAACATTTCAAGACACATTTCGTAAATCAAACTTTCGATAATTTTTGGATATTTTTCGATTTCATTTTTCCTCTCATATATCTTGCAGCATGTTCGAGAGAGACGATGTGATAAATGCACTATTGGACGCTGGCGTCAACAGGGTAAGTTTTCCAAATGCCATTGTTTAAAGTAATCTAATTTGGTTTGGTAGTCTAATTTTACTCAGCCCAATTGGAAGACGTTTTCAAAAATGTTCATTTTATTAAATATTATGACTAAGTTGTTTATTTAATTTTTAGTGCATGGCAGAAAGTACAAGCCTGTCAATGTGTGCGATGGAACTAAAGCAAATTTTACACTCTATTGTAAGACCTCACAATGTCATCTCTACCCAACAGGTAGGAATATGGATATTGACATTGTTTACCATGCCGTAATACATTTATATTTACAGGCACTCTATACAGCATTGCATCGACTGAAAGAAGTTCTTATTATAACCGATGATCTCTTAAGGATACAATACGCGAATAGATCAGCAGAAAGATTGCTCAATATGCGATTGGTAAGATATTAAAAAAATTATGCATTTGATGATTTTAGCGACATTATTCACCGGAATTGTTTCAAATTTGGTATTTGGAGTTCGTAATGGATACTACAGCCTAAGACAGAAAATTCTCTGTACAGGTCCACGTCTTCATATAGCCCTCTTATAATGGTACCTCCCTATATTCGTCCGAAATGGTGAAGGGTATTCAAAGTTCGGCCCGGTCGAATTTACAGCTTTTTTACTTGTTATTATTTCAATTTCATTTTAAGAACATATTGGTGTTAGGACAATTCTAAGAAAATGGGACAGTGATTTCCCACCTTTAGAGGATTATTATTTTTCAAAATTTTAACTAGCGTGGGAGGTAAGAGGAGGAGTCGTTCAAAGTGGCCCATTGCCGCACGTGGCCTTAGCCTAATATGAATATTATCATGTGCCAAATTTGGACTATAACAGGTGCTCCCCTAACACCACTTTAGCTATAACACCGAAAATGTTCAGCTTTGCCTGTTAAAAATTCTTAAAAAATGTCTCTTAATGACCTAGCCCAAGAAGTAACAATACATTACAAAACATGTAAAAAAACAGTAAGTTCGGCCGGGCCGAACTTTGAATACCCTCCACCATTTGGAACGAATTAGAAAATTTTCAAAAAAATAAAATCCATTAAAAATTCTTTTAAAATCTTTAAAATATCTAATATAGGAAGGTGCCGATGTATAGGGGGATATACGATATTGTGGACCTATAAAGATAAATCTATGTCTGCGTGTAAAGTACTCACAAGGAACTCCTTGTGTGGATTTTCAGACAATTCCGATGAAAAATGTGGGTAAAATCATAAAAATACCGAATATCGGGGGCTACCGTTATATGGGGGATATACGATATCGTGGACCTGTATAGACAATTCTCTCTCAAGGGGTGAAGTACTCACAAGGAACTACTTGTGTGGATTTTAAGACAATTCCATTGAAAAGTGCGGCTAACATCATCAAAATACAGAATATCGGGGGGTACCGTTATATGGGGGATATACGATATCGTGGACCTATATAGACAATTCTTTTTGAGGGGTAAAATGCCCACAAGGAACTCCTTTTGTGGAATTTCAGACAATTCCATTGAAAAATGTGGATAAACTCATCAAAATACCGAATATCGGCGGTACCGTTATATGGGGGATATACGATATCGTGGACCTGTATAGACAATTCTCTCTCAAGGGGTGAAGTACTCACAAGGAACTACTTGTGTGGATTTTAAGACAATTCCATTGAAAAGTGTGGATAAACTCATCAAAACACAGAATATCGGGGGGTACCGTTATATGGGGGATATACGATATCGTGGACCTATATAGACAATTCTTTTTGAGGGGTAAAATGCCCACAAGGGACTCCTTTTGTGGAATTTCAGACAATTCCATTGAAAAATGTGGATAAACTCATCAAAATACCGAATATCGGGGGTACCGTTATATGGGGGATATACGATATCGTGGACCTGTATAGACAATTCTCTCTCAAGGGGTGAAGTACTCACAAGGAACTACTTGTGTGGATTTTAAGACAATTCCATTGAAAAGTGTGGATAAACTCATCAAAATACCGAATATCGGGGGTACCGTTATATGGGGGCTATACGATATTGTGGACCGATATAGCCCATCTTCGAACTTGACCTGCCTGCAGACAAAAGAAAGATCTGTGCAAAATTTTAGCTTCCTATCTTAATGCGTTTAGACTGTAGCGTGATTACAACAGACGGACCGACAGGGCTAAATCGTCTTAGAATTTTACGCTGATCAAGAATATATATACTTTGTTGGGTTTAAAATGATTATTTCGATGAGTTACAAATGGAATGACGAACTTAATATACCCTCTATACTTTTTTTGGTGGAGGGTATAAAAATGTAGCTAAGAGCTAATGTTTTTTAAAATCGCCGGCTGACACAAAATAGCAGTGATCAGCTACAACTAAATTAAATCAAAATAGCTCAGCACCAAAAAACAGCACGGCAGTTACTGCTTAACTCGGACATTTTAATTAAAGTGCATTTAAGTTCTATACGACATTTGTAAAAAAATTCTGACAAAAATAAACTTTGAATTCAAAAATAAACTTTTATTATTTATTATTTTATTTTATAATCATGTGCAACTGTGGCTTCATATATGCAATAGCAGTTGCGTGTGCTACAGCTGAATATATAGATTCGACTCAATAATGTCCTAAAATTGATTTCGTTCGAAGATACTTAAAATCTAAACCCCGTATTTTGATGAGGAACATGCAGTTAATGACTTGACGGACGTCTACCATTTTGCATAGTCATCGGATAACATATCAACTTTCCATTAAACCGCTTAATAAGTTAGTTAGTGATACAAATTTTAAAGAAATCTAAATTTACATAGTTTATTTTGAACTCCCCTTAGCAGAACAGACGATTGCCATTAAATGCTGCTTGGTCTCGTTGACATTTCAAAAATTAAATGGCCAGAAACATTCTAATGAACGAAAAAATAATCAATCTAATGCAGTATTTGTAGAACATATTGATTTCAGGTCTATCGAAAAGAGTAACGTAATAATGAAAACGTTTGAACTTTAATTAGAAATTATTACATAATGTACAATTCCTAACAATCGAAAATTATAGAATGAACCTTCACATTTTGGAATTGGACTATTACCTACTCGTCTTAAGAGTAACATAAGTGTCCTGAGATATCGCGAATCTAAGCGTCACACTATCCGTTCATCTGTCTGGCGTTGTAAATGTCTATCAAATTCAATTTGAGCTCCGAACGCTTCTTTTGGTACTTCCTCTACATACATTCCAAATTTTGAAAGAACATAAGTGTTATAAAATACTGGTTGAGTCCTATATTTTATTAAATTAAATCTAGCATATCCAAATATTTGTCGGTGCACTACTTCTGGTATATAGTATAAAAAGCGATAAGTGAACCAATTTGGTTTAAAGTTCATATATTGCACATCTGTAGCGAGCTTTTGTTATGTCCCAAAATGGACAATATCGACTTGTTTTTTTCGATACCTCCCCAACAAAGGTTCACCATTTTTAGAATATTGACCCATTTAAAACTGTCCATCTTCTGTTTAAAAGAATTTTTGATTAAACTTATCATTTCAATCAAAAACGCTGATTATTATTATTATTATTATAATTATTATTATTTTATTATTGAATTACTCTGCGCCGATATTCATTGCTGGCCCGAATTTGGCCCTTTCTATATTAGTTTACATATTTCTATTGAATGATGTAATTCTATGAACACTTTTGATATTAATCTTTAATTTCGATAGGATGAAGTCATCAGTAAGCCATTGGCTGATATTTTTATATCGGATGTATCTACTATCAACAGTAGTGTCCAAGGAAAAGGTATACGGGAATTTGATGGCATTTTAACAGTGAAACGAAAGAATCAGGAAGGTATCCCAATGCACGTTAGAGTTGTGCCCGTGGCTTGCATCGGAAGGTAAATATTCAGTTCAAATTTTTTCTTCTTTGGATAAGGTTTTGAAAATGAATCTATTCCAGGACTCCGACACATTTCGTATTCAATTTTGATGTACCTGGTGGGCAAATGGATTTCATTGCTACATTGCCCCAACCGAAGGAAGCGCCTCGTGGTTCACTTCACTCCATTCGACGAGGAAGCTTTGACGTGCGTTCAATTGCCTCCGACGGTCTGCGCAGAACTAGTTTAGCTAAGCTCACATCTCTACCACTCGAAGCACCCATAACTAAAGTAAGTAACATTTCATTTATAAGTTAGAAATTTCAGCGAGTATTCAAATATCAAAAGCCGAATATGCCAATCGCATCGATCCAGCTTTTCGTTATAGCATTTATTTTAGTTTTTGTGTTTGTCAAAGGTTAAAAATGCACATGCTAATTTCCGAAATTCATTTAATGCAATTTTAATTGGGGTAAGTTGAAAATAGGGGCGAGCCACAAGTCGCCAAAAGTCCTTATGTATACACACTATAGCTTGAAACTCGTCCCATTCTGTGAAACTCGGATTTGTTGATTAATGCATAAATATAGGGAAGTTTATATTAGGCATTCGTACGAACGTACGACTTTATTTGATTCTATTAACCTGAGCCAATATTTGTATTATGTGGAAGCACACCTGCTTAGTGTACCAGGGAAAACACATTTTCCATAGGATTGTAGTGTTTTTCAAATTTTGGACCGAGTACTAATTAATCTTAATATTGTGTTTTGATATTAATTAAAATACTGTATTAAATGACGTGTTCTTGGACAATCAATCAATACAATCGTGTTGGATATGAACAATTATAAATAAATGTGGTGTCGCGTCTGTTCTATTGTGAAAAAATAACCTCTTCAAATATATTCAAATTGTGTTACGCATGTATTTATGAGAGATTTTCATATCATTTCTTTTTCTTTTAATTCTTGTTAGATTGTCCAAACTAACCCGTTCTTCACAAAAGCATATTCTATCTCAATATTTGAAACAAAAATAAACGTCTTTACAAACTGTTTTTATTAACACAGAGGTCATGTGTAAATCGTCTTAGAATTGTACGATGTCTTAAATTATTATTTTATCTTCATTAGATTTCAATGTGTTACAAAAGTAAACAATATCGCTCAAAAAAATATATACTTTTATAATAAACTTCGGTAAAGGTAATGCTTGACACTGGCAACAGAATGGGTGATTAAACTCCATCAAAAATAACTCTCTCTCAAAATATACGCAAAAATATTGCTGTTGGCGCTAGAATACTTCGCCGAAACTAATATCCACATTGAAACATTTGGGTTATTTACAAGAACATAAACATGTCTCATACAAAACTCTGATACGATAGAGCTAGAGACTACGTTTATGAGTTTAATGTTTGCTTTCTCTCTGAAGGATTTGACGGTAGGAGAAGGCTAAGGTCTGAATTAGCATCCTGAATTCGCCTCCTGTATGACCTGAATTCACCTCCTGTATGAATTAATTATATTGGCCTTGGTTTATAAACAAGTACACTCAAACTCCATATAGCGAACATTCCAAACCGCCTTCGGGCTGAGCTTCCTAATCTTCTGAAAATACAAATTTAGTCCAAAGGCTCGGAGTCTTTTAAATAACACCAAAGCTTAAAAAGGAGCAAATATGTCACGATTTCAGTATCGATTTTTTTTCTTGCTAGCAGAACTGTTTTGTTTACAAATAAATTAATGTAGAAACTACAAATAAATTAATGTTTATTTTTTAATGGCTTGAGTTATTCAATTTTGATAAATTTAACAAAATGTTTGTGTTTGTTTGTTCTTTTCATTCGTCTAACATGCTGTAATCCGCTGATACGTACTTCGTGTCCTGTTTTCGGTTGTTTTTATCTTTCAACTTCATTGTACTTCTGAAGATAATAAATCTGCTCTCGCAAGTACAGGAGAATTGTTCAGCAGAGGAAGCACGCCTCATCGACAAAGTAATGGAATTCTTAAAGCGTGAAGGGTTGTACAGTCCCCAAATGAAGGAAATTCGAACAGACGATCCCATTGCAACAGATCTAATTGGTGCTCTTTTGACGGTAAGTTATTTCATACTTAATTCAAGAACAACCAGTAATATCCTTCATTTCAGGGTCCAAATGTGTATTCTTCTCGTCGCAGTTCTAATGATTCAATAGTTCGAACAAATTGTTCAAACCGTCAGTCGACCATAATGCCAGCTAAAATGAAGGTAAGTTAATGAGTAAAATTGTATGATAAGTAATTTTCTATTCTCCGCATGTAGGCAACACCACTCATTATGGAAATACTTGAAGAATCTCTTAACTGGGAATTTAACATTTTCAAATTGGAGGAGATTACTGAAAACCATCCTCTCTTGTACCTGGGAATGGAAATATTCCGCCGATTTGACGTGTTCGCTACCCTTAATGTAGATGAGAATGTCTGCAAAAATTGGCTGGCCATAATAGAACGAAATTATCACGCGGATAATTCATACCACAACAGCACACATGCAGCCGATGTTATGCAGGTAATTTTACAAAATCTGGTAAAGAACCGTGTCATTTTGTTATTTTATGCTTTTGGTGTTTCACAGGCAACTGGGGTTTTTATATCCCAACTTGCGGCTAAAGATTTGGTAATGGACCGTTTAGAAGAGGCTTCGGCTCTTATTGCAGCAGCTGCTCACGATGTTGATCATCCAGGACGGTCGTCAGCCTTTCTTTGCAATTCTAACAGTCCTCTGGCCATATTGTACAATGATCTAACGGTGCTAGAGTCCCATCATGCTTCAACCACGTTTAGGTTAACCTTAGGCAAGTACTTTTGTCTGGAAGAAAATTAATCGATTGGTTTTCTAAACATTATAATTATTTTACAGGTGATGACAATGCAAACATCTTCAAGAATTTAGACACAGACACATACAAAGTGGCTCGTACTACAATCATAGACATGATTTTGGCTACTGAAATGACTCGGCACTTTGAACATTTAGCTAAATTTGTGAGCGTCTTTGGTACTGAAATGGAGCCTAGAGATGTAAGTAGAAGGCATTGTCAGTATCATACATACCATAATTTATATTGTTCAACGGAAAACAAATTGTATTTTACTGACTATATCTTTATCGTGTTTCTCCAATTTTTGGTTCTGATATGAAGGAACACCAGTTGATGTTTTTCCAAACCTCCTCTATCCGAAAAATTCTTGCGTTTCGTGTTAGCCATTGTAGGAAAAACATGTTTTTTTTCTCATTCAGAAATCTCGGGAAGAATTTTCATAAAAAATTTAACACTTTTTAAGTTAAATGCATATCATGTTATTGACTTAAAAAAACCTATTTTTATTATCTCCGAATTGCTGGGAAAAATATAATCAATGCAGTTCCGGAAAATGTGTAACTAACTCCTGCAGACAAAAAAGTTGTCTCGGATGCAACATATTAAGGAAGGGTCGCACCAGTTTGGAAGATTAGCATTCCTATTCCTATTGTATAATTTGGTTCAGTACAAACCTTTCTGCCTCTGAATGTACAGTGATAACGAATGCGAATCCGCCAGGGAAAAGGTGATACACGTATACAGATATATCCCAGTTATATAATAGATGCCCCACGTTATATGCCCAAAGTCGCTCTCGAACCCCGCAAAGAAGAATGGTCAGACGTCTGTCTGGTTTAACGGCGAAAAAGTAACAAGAGGCAGTTGATTGGGCTCCCCGAGAGTGACAGGGCTAAGAGAAGGGTTCCACGCCGTATACGATACCTCCTAGATGAGAATGTGCCACAACAATATACGATGAAAAATATTGCACGTGTCATAAAAGCCCATTGTCCTTATAGTATCACTATGATGATTTTGAAGCAATTGGATGAACCAGGAGTTGAGTACTTAACCAAACCCCTCAACTTGTCGCCACCCTAATAGTTCCCGATGCCTTGAAATCAGGAAAAGAGGTCGCGCTAATGAAGCCAGACGCGGACGCAAGCAAAGTGATTCTTACAGGCCAATATCATTTTTGTCGCCAATCCTCCTCCCCAATATCGAGACAGTTTCCCTGCAGCAAATTACAAACATGGAGTCCGATAACAAGAATACTCAAAAACAGCTATACTCGCCATTTCCTCTTTTATTAGCTGGTAACTCAACCATAACAGGCCGTGTCACAGTACATTCATAGTGGTCCTAGCTGCATTAGGTTAATTACGGTCACAGATAGTTTACAAACATGGTGTCAGTGTCCATTATTGATCTACCATATACTAAAAACTACCTAGTTAATTTTAAGTCTTTTTTCATTACAAGGAATATGTAATATCCGCAATTAAATCGACTGCCACATTATTCACCACATGTAAAGCAGATATGCGGCTATTTTCAATGTACAATATCAAAACCATTTCAAAGGTGGAGGGGGCCCAACCAATAAAACTTTTAGTTTTCCACATAAAATAACAAAATATGTCGTAAAAATGGTCAAATCGAATGGGCAAGATCCCCAGGTCCCACATAACGGGAACGTCGCCGACTTAGGGGTCATATTAGATAGCTCAATATAACGCGAAAAACTTGTCTTTGGTAAACTATAGGGTGTTTTTTTTAAAGCGCGATAGAACTTGAAATTGTAAAAAACACAAAAAATTAAATTTTAATCAAAAAAAAAAAAAATATTCGAAAGATCAATACGTGACATTACCATTTGAAAATAAATTCGGGCATATGGGCACCGCAGCTGTTTTTGACGAAGTGCGTTCTGGGCTTCCAATTTTTGTCCACTTTTTCGAGCACTGCTGGCCATATGTCACGAATATCACGAACAATGCTGGCCTCCAAGGCGTCAATTGTTGCTGGTTTATCAGCATAAACCAGTGACTTCACATGCCCCCACAGGAAATAATTGAGAGGTGTCAAATCGGACGACCTTGGAGGCCAATTGACAGGTCCACTTCTCGAAATCAACTTATCGCCAGATTTCGATTTCAATAAGTCGATGGTTGCGTTCGCCGTATGGAAAGTAGCGTCATCCTGTTGAAACCACATCTCCTCCGGATTAATGTAATCCATATTTTCAAACAAAAAATCATTGATCATGGTGCGGTAATGATCTCCATTGACCGTAACGCGAGCTCCATACCGCGCCATACGGTGCATTTTTCTGGATGTAATGGAGTCTGTAGGGTCTCTTGTGGATTAGTCTCACTCCATATGCGGCAATTTTGCTTATTAACAAACCCGTTAAGCCAAAAATGCAACTCATCGCTGAACACAATTTTGCGATAAAACAACGGGTCATTTGCCAACTGCTCTAGAGCCTGATTTTCAAAGTAAATTTGGATAATTTCGTAGCGTTGTTCAAGCGTGAGTCTATTCATGATAATTTGTCAGAAACAAATAAAAAAAGTTGCAACAAAATTTAATTTTTTGTGTTACTTTTTACAATTTAAAGTTATATCTAGCTTAAAAAAAACCGTATAAGTTATTTAATGATTTAAAACAACATTAAGTTCCTCTTATCTCAAAAAATTGTACTGTATTGCTTAAAATTTTAAAACATTTTTGCATCAGCCATAATGTATATGTTTTTCAATCAGCTAATGTTACTAGATAAATTTTACTGAGTAGATTTTTCCAGTAGATTATTGCAAACTCTCGGTAATTAATTTGATTTCCACCAACGCACTATGGGGCCAATGACATCCCATTGAGACAAAAACTCACATGGACGAGGAAGAACTTCCAAAGTTCGTTTTTAGGTGCTGGTAATGATGAGAACAACTTCTGCTAAAATTTCTTTCGAATCGGCAAGAATATAGAAATAGCTCCCACATATAACTTTCATCCCATTTGAGATTTAGGCCCAAAATGATTTTTGGTATGTGTTATCACATACAGCTTAGAAATACTTCTGACAAATTCTGTCGAAATCGGTTCAAATTTACATATATTTTTGTTTTGAAAATGGTACACCAACCGTTCTATTTTTAGCTAATTAGGTTGTGTCTTGGATCATACGATAATATTCCGTAAAGACAAAAGTCTGCCATATTTGGATTAAATCAAATTCTTTATAGCTATAGCTCTCTTATATTCATTCGATTCGATTTCATTCGATTTTATGTATAAGTCTTCTCAAATTCATAATATACCCTCAAAAGCAATGGCATTTGGTACGAGACGTCAAACGTTAAAATGTAAAATATACTTGAAATCGGGTTGAACCCTTATCCGGGGTTTATGACCCATATCATGACCTGCAAAAGCGATTTAAGGTATCAAGGATAGAAATCCTTTTCTTATAAAAGTCCAATTCGCTCTTCAATGATTGCAGCCCCAATGAATTTTGCATCTTGAGTTCTCATTGGACGGATTATTGTCATATGAAAGGAGTAGGTCCACGTTTCGAAATGGGCCCATAACGTTTTGTCGGTCATTTTTGTTTGTTTAAATTTTTTCGCATCTTCCAGCTGAAGCACCGTTCGTACATGATAAAATATTGATTTTTTTTGTTCATAGCGTTCCACATACACAATAAATATATAAAATCTATAAATATCAGTTTGTCCGTTGTCGTTTGATACTCTCCAAAAAGACCACACATCATATAAGAATTCAAAAAAAAAACTACAAATGTATATTCGAAAATAGTGAGTCAAAATGGAAAAAAATTATGCAATATAAAACATTACAAATTGGATTTTATCCTTTTCTGCCACGAGACAATTCCGAATTTGTCTGAATCGTTAAAATCAGATCAGTGGTTCTTGAGTTATAAGCGTAGTTACTAACACAACTTTCTTTAATGTATATAGATATTTTTCGTACAATTACTTTACAATTTTCCCGCCCGGAAATATTTAAAAAAAAAATACTGTCGTTCTTTATATTATCGTCTAGCCCACCGGCTGTTCTATAATTTATAATAAGATATTTTTAATGTATGTCGAATGTGAAAGAAAAACAATAATTCTAATAAATGATTGGTCGGTTCCAGAACTGCAAGAATGTAAACTTTTTACTACGATAACCGATTTCCCTTTATGATTCGAAAACTGAAACTGAATACCCTCCACCATTTGGAACGAATTTGAAAATTTTCAAAAAATAAAATCCGTAAAAAAATCTGTTTAAATTTAAAAAAAATACCGAATATAGACATTTTATTGTTGTCTATACGACGTGGACCTACAAAGGCATTGTTTGTCATAAGCCATCACCATATTCAAATTCCAAAACTTGAAATAAACGGTGAAAAATTTAGCTAAAATCATCAAAATATCGTATATAGGGAGGTACCGTTATATCGGAGCTGTGCGAAGACCTGGACCAACATAGACAATTTTCTGTCATAGGCTCTAGCATCCATTACGAAGTTCAAATCGACATCTCAAACAATTTCGGTAGGCATTGTACCTAAACTCGTCAAAATGCCGAATATAGAGAGGTACTGATATATGGGGCCTATACGAAGACCTGGACCTGCATAGACAATTTTCTGTCACAGACTGTAGATCCCATTACGAATTCTAAATACGTAATTTGAAACAATTCCGGTGAATAATGTCGCTAAAATCATCAAAATGCCGAATATAGGGAGGTACAGTTATATAAGGGTTATATGTAGACGTGGACCTGTACAGAAATTTTCTGTCATAGCCTGTAGTATCCATTACGAACTTCAAATACCAAATTTGACACAATTCCGGCGAATAATGTAAAATACCGAATATCGGGGGGTACCGTTATATGGGGGCTATACGAAAACGTGGACCTACATGGTCTATTTAGGTACTTAACCTGCCTACTGGAAAAATAAACATGTGTGCAAAATTTTAGCCTTCTATCTCAATTCTTTCGAAACATAGCGTGATTACAACAGACGGACAGACAGACAGTCGGACATCGCTGAATCGACTTAGAATTTTACGCTGATCAAGAATATATATACTTTGTTGAGTATGATATGAGTATTTCAAGGAGTTTCAAACGGAATGACAAAGTTAATATACCCTCCAGGGTATGGTGGAGGGTATAAAAATTGCA